AATAAGAGTCCTTCCCACTTTTTTTTCTTAGTTGCTTAAAAAGCCACCACCTTATTTTCATAGTCTCATAGTTAGTAGGGTTGGAAGGGACCTGAGCAGATCATCAAGTCTGACCCCCTGCCATGGGCAGGAAAGAATACTGGGGCCAAATGACCCCGGCAAGGAACTAAATAGTAATACAGGAAGAAATATTGAAATGTAAGGGCAAAAGAAACCTACTGTCTACTCAAATCCCCTCCACTGAGGCAGGTTCAAGTACATCTAGCTCACCCCTGAGAGGTTTTTGTCTAACAAGTTTTTAAAAGCTTCCTGAGAAGGAAATTTTACCATTCCCAGATAGCCTGTTTCTGTACCCTTATATTTAGAAAGATGTTTTCTTAATATCTCAATTAATTCTTCGTTGCAAATTAAACTAATTTCTTTTTGTCCCTCCCCCAGTGGACATAGTGAATAATTGTGTATTAGAAGTGACCAACCTTTTCTGTGCTGGAAGACTTATGTCTTCTTCTTTCTCTTTTCTAGAATAAACAAACTCCATTCCTTCAATCTTACCTCATAAATAAGGTTTTCTAAATAATTTATCATTCTTGTTACATTCCTCTGGACTCTATCCCATTTGTCCTTCTGGGGTGCACAGTATTCTATTTGAGACCTCACCAGTGCTTCCTATGTTTTACATAAAAGACTCACACATTAATTCATTCCAAATTAAATTTTGCTTTTTTTGGGGGGGGAGGGGGTTTGAAGAGCGTCACATCACTGAATCACATTTAGTTTGTAATCTGTTACAATCCCCAGACTGTTTCCTGCAGTTCTGATCTTTGGTTGGCCATTCTGCATTTTGTAGTTGTATACTTGATTTCCTCTTCCTAAGTACAACACTTTGCATTTCCCTTTATTGAATATCATCTTGTTGACTGTGGACACCTCTAGTTAATTGCGCTCATTTTGAATACTGTTGTCCAGATTGCTTGCAGCCTGTCCCAGCTTGGTGTCATTTACAGATTTCATAGCTAGGGGTCTACTGAATTTGAGGAGGAGCTGGCTGATTTCACAGCCAGATCCCGGGGCTAGCCGCCATTTTCATGGGCTGAGTGCAGCCCCCCATGCCTCTAATTGGCTAAGGGGACCTGGCAGTCCCACCCATCCCTGCAAATTGCCTAAAACTGCAGCTTAATTACCATGATTAAGCCCAGGGAAGCCATTAATCCACATATTATTACACTTTATCAAGGTTATTAAACCATGGTTTCAGGTCATCCCCAAGTGGGGAGGCTGCAGGCGGCTGAACCAAGGTCCTGGTCCAGCTGTCGCAGGTAGCCGGGAGGCTGCAAGCAGCTGCATCAGGATATGAGAAGCCCCAGCCTGGCTCATTGCACAGCCTCCCTACCTCCTGAGTGCTTAAGATGTTCAACAAGGGACTTGTCTATACCACACCAGCAGTAGGTTTTAGAGAGAATGTGGCTGAGCATGTACTAATCCCTAAGTCCATTGCCATGTTCCCCAACTGGAAGCTCACACTTGAAGTTGCCCCATACTCATCTCCAACACTTACCCATGAGCTCTTGGTCTTCAGTAGGTCTAAGAGACAGTGGAAATGAGTCTAGACATCCTTTCAGGTGAGCTTCTGACTCTGGAGTGTATTGACAGATTCACATGGGTGGAATATACTAAACCCCATCTCCTATGAGGCCTGCAACTGATACAGTATGAAAGTTCCAGTGTTTCATTACTGTCTATCATCCTATTATCACTTTTTCATCTGTATTGTACAGGACTCAAAGTTTTCATATTATCAGGAAAAGTGTTTATCTGTAGTTTCCCACCATGGTTCTTCTGATTCATGTGCAGGTCAGTCCTGGACCTTATTCTGGCTGCTTTGCAGTTAAAACTGCACTGAGAGGCTGGTAAATGGATCCAAAGGAGTACACATCAATTGATGGTGCAAAAGTAACTTAGCTGGTTCTATACTGTTTGCCCCATATTGGTGGAAGACAGTATTGTATAAAAATATGGTATCCATATTTTTATAGAACAGTTTATATAATTGATTCTCAGCATTTACATTACATATTGAAGATAACGCCAATTTTTCACTGAACAAAAGCAAAAACAAAAAACCTGGACAGATCCTGATATAAGAAGGAAGAAAGTGTTCCAGGGCTAGGGCATAATGTGCATAGCCACACTAGGTAATCATCCACCACAGCTTGTAAGTAGCCGAATTTAGAGCAGCCTTGCTGGTGCTCCAATTTTCCATAATGGAATTTAGGTGCATAAATTACAACTTTGGGATCTGGACCTAAGCTTGTGTGGCCTGGGTTGGCCGTATTTTCACATAATGCAATGGGATCTTGTGGGTCTCTGGAATATAATATAAATGTTTAGTAACTACAGTGGCATCCAGCTGCAAAATATTTCAGCACCTAACTTTGCTCTAGCTTCACTAAGAGCAAAATGAACCCATAAAGGAAAGTCAGGTTGTGCTTTGTTCCTGAGTTGGTAAGAGAACAAATTTGTTATTAGCTCTTTGATTGGCTCTAATTTGAGGGCATCTAAGGGGTAAGAAATAGATTTCAGTGGCCCTTGAGTGACTGCAGGACCAAATGCTTCAGCAAAAGTCAGTGGCACCTGTACTCCAAACTTACTTAAGGCCTGATATTTCAAAGTATCGAGCAGCTGCAGCATTGGGGGCATCTCTTGCACAGACACTGTTTAAGAGACTACTAATTAAAGAGTGATGGAAATTTTATAGTATATCAATCAGAAAAGAAGATTCAGTTGCTCCCATACTTCAGCTAATCTGGACTGTGTTATACTTGGTTATGGTAGACTACTGGTAAACTGTATCGGCTTTCATGGTAGATTGTACCATACTGACTGTACAGATGTAATTTGAGGTGTTCACTTTGAAAAGTCTTATGTCCTATATGCTACAAGGCTAAACCACTCCTTTTTTAACTTAAAATACACAAAAGGACGGGGAGTATGTGCAACTCAGAGCTGGAACAAGCTTGTTTTTTGCAAACAAATATAGTTACAACGTTTTTCATAGCACAAGGTTTTTTTTCAGTTTACTGTTTGGACTATGTCAAGATATGTTAAAGCTACTGCTAAATGACATTATGGGTTCAATGCTAGTCTCATAGCATGCAGTCGCTGAGAAAAGGATTAGGACTTTGAATTAACATATGGCATTTAAAAAGCCAGGATGGATTTCAGTACAACAGTATGTCAGTAAATTTAAGAATTATTTTCATGTCATCCATACTTTTATAGAACTGTTTGTATAATCGATTCTCAGCATTTACATACTGAAGATAAAGACACTGGACAAAAGTAAAACAAAAAATCCCTGCTTCTGCTATCTTATTATATCAATAGAAAATGAACCACAGAATTTTTATCATCACTGATACATTATACACAAAGAAGTGTCCTGTTTCTCGTATCTATGATTCCATTAAATAAAACTAAACTAACAACAGAAATTAATGAACCATGAGAAAAGATTGCTGATGGAAACATTCAGGTTTCAATCCTAAGTGGGTTTTTTTGTTTTATCTTTTAGCTTGAGTGCAATACTATCAGAACACAGGAAAATTCACACCAGAAAGTGCTTGGTGGTAGTCATCTGATTACTACTACTTTCGTTTGAGCAAGGGCATATGTTTGCTTTCTGCCTGGCTAAATCCCACAGATAAATCATATTCAGGCTAGTACTATATCATCCATCTGTTGCGCTTAATTTCAGTTTTTGAAACTCCCAACTAACTTACCAGGTTGATCAAATATTTAACTTGCTCTCCTCTGTATCTTTTTCTTCGTTTTGATAAACATCAGAGTATTTGCACTGATATCAAGTCTTTTAAATATTTTATGTTATTTCTTTTTCATCCAGTTACCTATTTCCTTGAAGGCTTATAAAAATTGATGCTTTGGATTTACATACAGATGCTCGTTATCCTTGCTTTGCATCTTTTTTTCCTAACCCCACCTTTTAAAACAATTATCTTTTAAAAATATCAAACTGTTACCACTTTATTGCATTAGTATCCAATTAGTAATTCACTGATGAGATACACCATATGAAATTCTTATCTTTTAAAATATATTACAGCCAACATGTTTTAAAATTCTAGCAAGTTGTCTTTTGCACGTGTTCAGTAGCCAAGATGAGCCATAGACTTGTTTCAAAATCCTATTACTTTTGAAGCAAAACCAGCTTTTATCTGAGTCAAGATATATCCTGAGTGATTGATGTTTGTATAACACACTGAATGTATCAAACATGATGGTCTGATCCAGTACTCAATGAAGTCACTGGGACAGTGGATGTTGGATCAGGATATACATAAATGCCTCATATTATAATTAACACTGCTTTTATTAATCTGGTATGAGTTTTATTAGATATACCTTACCTGAAGATACAGATTGCTTCCAGAAGTAATGTCTGTGGCTAATATCCCCTCTATCCACACTACGTTTGGTGGTAGTCTCAAAGGTATAGATGCACCACAAGCTTCACTTAAGACAGAGTCATCTCTGTGGCAATGCACAGCACATTTCCTTTAAAATCCATCCAGGCTTCTACCAGTTCACTGCATGTGGAACTTCCACTACTCAAATTATTTTGAACAGTTTGACGGTAAATCTCATGCAAAGATTAATACGGTACCTGGCTATATATTTATTACTTGTTTCCTGCTTATATTATATTGTAAACAATTCTGCCTGGTCTGCTTTTCAACACAGTTTCTTGTCTGAATATATGTATTTTCTTCAAAATTCAACTTTTCACTCTGTCCAGATATTTGTAGAACACTTCCTGCTAGCTAAAGGAAAATTATTTTTTTGAATCAGGAAAAGTTATAGAGAAAGGCCTTTATTTCACTCTGAAAACATATAATATAGTTAAATTCACATTGGTTTACATGACCTCACTTGTAATTTATATCATTTTCATGTAATTTTCTCTATTTGATTTTTATTTTTAGATGAAGATGATGCAGATAGTAGAGCTTCCCCGGAACCAGAGCTGGTCCTCCGAGATTACCAGATGGAGGTTGCAAAACCAGCACTGAACGGAGAGAATATTATAATATGTCTCCCTACAGGCAGTGGTAAAACTAGAGTGGCTGTTTACATTACCAAAGATCACCTGGATAAGAAGAGAAGAAAATCAGAGTGTGGAAAAGTTATAGTACTAGTCAATAAGGTATCATGTGCCATAAAAGCAGTATTAGCCATTTGTAATGTTATATTGGACATCTGAAATTATTGCAAATTGGTATAACAATAATATAGGCTGTAGATACGAAAAACCCGTCTACATACTGGTATAAATCCAAAGAACCTCACTTTACACCAGTACTGCTGAAAGCCTAATCTACCTAGCTCATTTTCTATAGAAAAAAGTTATCAATTGCTTGTGTCATGAGTAGTAATTTGCATAATTAAAACTGAAAATATTATTTAGAAAAGTCTAAATTTACTTTTCATCATTAGGCTACTTGTACATATGGGTGTGTTAATGAGAGCCACCTAATGAGTCCCACTTTTCTTTGTAAGAAATTTTTAGATTCATACATGCTAGGATTGGAAGGGACATCAACAGACCATCGAGTCTGACCCCCTGCCTAGGCAGGAAAGAGTGCTGGGGTCAGATGACCCCAGCCAGATGCCTGTCCAGCCTTCTCTTAAAGACCTCCAAGGTAAGGGACAGCACCACCTCCCTTGGAAGCCCATTCCAAATTTTGGCCACCCTTACCATGAAGTTTTTCCTGATATCTAACCTAAATCTGCTCTTTGTCAGTTTGTGACCATTGTTCTTTGTTAACCCAAGAGGCGCCCTAGTGAACAGACCATCTCTGATCCCTTACTGTGCCCCACTAATGAATGTGTAGGCGGCCACAAGGTCACCTCTCAGCCTTCTCTTGCAGAGGCTGAAGAGGTCCAGGTCCCTCAGTCTCTCCTCATAGGGCTTGTCCTATAAGCCCCTAACCATATGAGTGGCCCTCCTCTGGACCCTTTTGAGTCTATTAACATCCTTCTCAGTTGTTAGGGTGTTAGGGTCAGAAGGGACCAGAGCAGATCATCAAGTCAGACCCCCTGCCACGGGCAGGAATGAATGCTGGGATCATATGATCCCAGCTAGGTGATTATCTAGCCTCCTTTTGAAGACCCCCAAGGTAGAAGTGAGCAACACTTCCCTTCAAAGTTGGTTCCAGATCCTGGCCACCCTGACTGTGAAGTAGTGCCCCCTGATGTCTAGCCTGAACCTACTCTCAATTAACTTGTGGCCATTATTCCTAGTTACTCCGGGTAATGCTCGGGGGAACGGGGCCTCTCCCACTCCCCGCTGGGCCCCCCAGTAAGTTTACAGATGGCCACCATATCCCCTCTCAGCCTTCTCTTGTAGATGCTGAACAGGTTCAGGTCCCGTAGCCTCTCCTTGCCCAGCCTCTGGCCTGCTACCCCCTGACCATGTGAGTGGCCCTCCTCTGAACCCTCTCAATGCTGGCCACATCCCTCCTAAAGTGCGGCACCCAGAACTGGACACAGTACTCCAACTGCAGCCTGACCAGTGTTACATAGAGGGGAAGGATCACCTCCTTGGATCTGCTTTAGTCATGTTTTTCTGGTTAGTTCCCTTAAAACAGCTCAGTACTGCAAGGAAATGTATAAATTAAGTTTTTTAAATTGAAATATTAAAGTATAGTAAAAATTCTTTTGCTATTAGAATTTTTAAATAGACACAAAAGAACAATACAAGGCCCCATCTTAAAAATATCTACCAGTGTGAAACAAAATTATATAAATCCAGAACATATTCTTCTTCTTGAAAAAAATGCAAAAGAGCCAAAATGAAGAGGGAAATTCTGTAGCCTTGGAAGGAAGTTGTTTTATCAAAAGTTGTCTCATTCAGAACTGTGTGCACAATAGAATGCCTTCTGTGAATGCTCTTCAGTTAAAACTCTTCTTTACAAACTTCTGTTCAGGTACCATTAGTGGAACAGCACTTCCGAAAGGAGTTCTATCCATTCCTGAAGCATTGCTATCAAGTTACTAGATTAAGTGGTGATTCTCAGATGAAGATTTCATTCCCTGAAGTTGTCAGGAAAAATGATGTCATTATAAGTACTGCTCAGATCCTTCAGAATTCAATGTCAAATGCAGCTAAGGAAGATGAAGAAGGTATCCATTTATCAGGTGAGTTTTTCTGTCTCAAGTTTTCACTTAGAGTGGTTACTCTGGAAAATAACAGGGTAAAAATGCTAGGGCAGGATTCAGTGCTTATTCTTTCATAATAATTTTTTTCTAACCCTTAATTCTGCAAACTGAAGCCCAAAATAGGCCCTTTCACCATATGCGTGATCACCAGAAACTTATTTATGTATTTATTGCTAGCTTCTCTGCAGTTCTTTCCCTTCAGTGGGTTTGTGAAAATGAATAGATTGGATGAAGCAAAGAAGGTTTAGAACCCAGCTCACACAAATCTTAGCTGTTTTGTTCTGAGAGGGATGCTGGGCAAAATAGTGACTAATATAGCTTTTACCCCGAAGTCATATTTTTTCAGTGATATATAGCATTTCCTAGATGTGCTGTTGGAGACCCCAAATAAAATGCCTTTTGTTTAGTTTCCAGTGCTCCTACCCAGCTCCTTACCATTACTCATAGCCTCTTAATTTTTACTCTTACCTGCCTATGAAAATAGTACAGGGAACCATTTTATGTCTTATAATTTGTAATTGAAAACAAAATTAAGCATCCCTGACAGGGTTTCTTTCCAACTGCAGTACTGTGGACTTCTTGTTGTTGCATTTAAATGAACATCTGACCGGAAAAAAAAGAAAAGCAAACAATATCTAAATCACCCTTCATGATTACATGGCCTGTGTTCTCATTGTTTTTCTGTTCTTACCAATAGCCTTTGTTCTCTTCTAAAAATTACTTTCTATGCATACAAAATAGCTTCTTTTTATTTTTAAATTAACTGTTGTACTTAAGACTACCCCATCTACTTTATGCTGTGAGCTTTCTGGGCAATGCTGTCTCTTTTGGAATGTCTGGAATGCTCCTAACAAGTCATGGGTGTTCCTGTGAAGAAATAATAATAAAATACAATTTGTGTTGTGGATCTGTTCATAGAAGAATGTATGGCTGAATCGAACTGTGGCAGATTCTCCCTAATGGTTAAGCATGTTCCTGGGGCTCAGATCTTTCTCATGTAATTTTTGCAAAAGTTTTGACACTTTCTATGTAAGTTAAAAAATACTCTGTGCTTTAAAAATGTTGTTTCAAACAAAGATTTCAATGTTTACTGTGATACATATAAATATAGTTGCATAAGATTTATTTTCTGTTAAAGCCCATATATGTTAGAGTTGAGAGAAACTAATAAAGGCTTAGTATCCTTGCCCCGTAGAGGATTGACTTATTCATGTACTATGTTTAAAGGAGAAGTAACTGTTTTATACTGGTTATGTTTTTCAGCTTTTTCTCTTATCATTATTGATGAATGTCATCACACCCAGAAGGAAGGTGTCTACAACAATATAATGCGAAGTTATTTAAAAGACAAGATGAAAAATAAGAAACTAAAAAAAGAAAATAAACAAGTGATTCAACAGCCTCAGATCCTGGGACTGACTGCTTCACCCGGTGTGGGAGGTGCAAAAAACCAAGCAAAAGCTGTAGAACATATTCTGAAAGTAAATACCCCTTAAAGTCGATAATAACAAAGCAAAACTATTGAAGTCAGTATTGGGCCTTAAAAGTATCATCCAGTTGTTGGTCTGTACATACCATTTGATTTTATAAGCTCATTAGCAAATTCTTCCACTGAAGTATTTATATAAGTAGGGACTAACTCTAGTCTAGGATTGCAGGATCAAGTACACAGATGAAATGACTTCAATTGAAAGGCATACTGAATGCATGAATTATCAGATTAAGAGTAGGCATAACCAGTTTTCACAAAGGAGCAACACTTTATTTGCAGGTATTTTTAATTCTAGAAACAGAAGATTCTACTAGAAATAGTAGAATATTTCCAAGTACACAGTGTTTATTGCATGCATTTTTGGGGAGCTGCTAATGAGTTGCATAGGATAAAGCAGCTATACACTTCCTATTCAACAGGTGTAATTCATTTAAGAGAGAACAGTGATCAATCAAAAGTATTTGTTTCTAATATGTAGAACTGTTAACCGAGGACAAATCAGTAATTTGAATAAGCTCCTGAGTTAGTATCTCTCTTCTGTTCTCAAAGACATTTCCAGTTATTTTTGCACTTCTATGTCCAGTTCTAATTTCTATAATTCCTCAATTTTATTTTATTTTACTATTCTATCTTATCTAAATATTCTTTTTTATGCCTCAGATTTTCACATTTAAATCTTTCCTTTCCCAGTATGCATCTTACATTGCATATTCATATTTGTTTGCTTTTGTCTTTCCTGGGTACAGGCCTAACATTTGAAAGGCCTAGAAATTAGTTTGATTAGTTTTGTCTGAGATGCCTTTCAAAAAGTCATGACATTTTCCATTACTGTACAATAATTACATGCTGCCTTTTCAGGCTGAACTTAAGTTAAAACCAGGTATTTTGAAACACACTATTTAAGTTAAGAATGTGCATGTATTGAACTTGTATGTCATATAACTCACAGAATATTTAAAGATTAAAAAAATCTCCCTCTTATCCAGATATGTGCAAATCTTGATGCTTGTAGAATAATGACTGTTGAAGAACATGCCTCCCAGCTGACTGATCAAGTGAAGGAACCATTTAAGAAGTTTGTGATTGCAGATGATAAAAGAAAGGTATGTATATTTTGTAAAGCTTTAGCAGCAAAATGCATTGCTCTTTAAAGAGAGGCAAAATTTTCTTGGGGTGGTATCTTTTATTAGAATAGTTAGACAAGCTTTCAAATGCAAGACATTCTTTCTCAGGTCTGATCACAAGAAACTAGGCACAGCATAGAGACTTAAGAAGATGTCATTATTGATCTTTAAAGATATAATCCCTGTAGTTAAGGCTTTAAGGTTGATGCTGTTGCCTTGCAGGCTGATAATGGTCCACCAGGCAGCTTTGGATAGTATAGCTTAATGAACGCCATAAATTCCCCAAAAGGCCCCAAGATATTTCTGCCCATCTAATGATAAGCTAACTCTTTTGTAGAAGAAGAAAATATATTAATGAATATAAGGGAAAATGTCTATGTTACTGATATGCTGTATTTCTTAACATGGATAGAGTCAAGGAAGGTCAAGTTAAATGGAAATCTTTTAACATCTCTTCAAAAGGTTGTTTCTTGTATTTCTATTTAGCAAGAATTTTGGGTCTTGGTTAAGATTGTGCTGTGATGAAATATGTTATTACTTTAAATTTGCTAATAGTGTAGGCTATGGACAAATTGTCATGATGTACTACATTTCATTTCCTTAGTGTTAGTGCTTAGATAGGGAAGTATTTTGAGCAACATCAATTGCTTTTTATAAATCAAAATGTTACGTTTTTAAGAATTTACAGTTTATAATATTCAGTTGAAAAGGTCATTTTATTTTGCTATTTTCATGATATTTATAAGTGTTATGACTTTTTAATAATTTGCTTTTAGGACCCTTTTAAAGAAAAAATTATAGCGATCATGCAAGAGATTCATACCTATTGTCAACTCAGTGCAACTTCTGAGTTTGGAACTCAGCCTTATGAACAGTGGGTAGTTAAAGAAGAGAAAAGAGGTAAATTAAAAAAAATGCTTTAATATAATCTATGAATATCATAGCTATGGATATTGAGGATTGTTTACTGAAAAACAATGGTGTGTGTGTATATTATGTATGTGATCTATATGTTGTTGTTTTTAGCTGCAAAAGAAGAGAAACGCAAAGAACGTGTTTGTGCAGAACATTTGAAGAAATACAGTGATGCCTTACAAATTAATGACACGATCCGAATGATCGATGCATACAACCACCTCAATAACTTCTATAAAGAGGAGAAAAGCAAGAAAGCAAAAATAAGGGATGAGGAGGAGGAGGAGGAGGATGAGCCAGTAGCACCAAAACAGGATGCAACTGATACATTTCTGTTAAATTTGTTTTATGGTAAGCATGAAACCTGTGGTATGTAATACATGACAAGTGCTGACACAAACTCCTGATTTGCCTGGGTACCTTGATATATAGTGGTCATTTCTAAAGTATCTGTGTTTAACAATATGCTGTGTACAATACATTAAAGAAAGCAGTGGTGCCCAACCTTCCTGGGCTGTGGGCTGGATGAGTGGTGCAAGATTGGTCTGCAAGCTGGAGGTACTGCACAGGATCTGTCCATGGGCCATCCCACTATGTGGCCCCAGCCCTACACACCAGATTGCCCCCGTGACTTGATTGGGCCTGCTGCCCTGGCTGTAGCCCCATGCATACAGAATCAGGTCCACTGCCCTTGTCCCTCATACCACGTCATCTGGCTACAGGCCTTGGAAATTTGAAAGCAAAGGAGCAGTGGCAGCATTCATTGCCACTGCTCCCTCACTGCCAGACTCACTTTCCAGACTTTTGGAGAGCCCCACAAGCCAGATGACATGAGGTTGAGAACCACTTCATTAAATGACGTATCAGCATTAGGCAGTATGTCCAGGTCAAAATACATAATCCTTTACTGCAGAAATATTTTCATGTTGAGTAGTTCACATAATGTTAAAAGTTGATGTTCTCAACAGAGGCATATCTGAAATAATGTCTGTAGATAGATCTTTTTATTAATACTGTTGTGTAAAGTAGTAATTGTATTTGCAAAGGCAGGGTATTGCAGAAAGCATATTTATAGAAGGCCATGCAACTGCAACTTTGTTCCATACAGTGTTTTACTTCATAAGGAACTGAAGAGTTATTTATTTACTTATTTTTAAACAATGGAGCCTCTTTCATAACATAGAAATTCTCTTATACGAGCATTCTGATAAGCATGGACTCAGTCTTCCCAAAGTCACCAGCCCATAAATATACACCTGTGTTAAATGCTACTGTTTCTTAAATAGGAGATTTTTAGTGTTAGAATGTGAGAGCTATTCTCAAGCTTCTTTCTAAATAATATGAGTATGAAATACTGGTTATACTGGAGATATTAAAATGATGATGGTAGTGTTTGCATTCTTGTATAGAAAATCTAATTAGTCCTATTTTATCTAAGTAGCTTTCTTGCTTATTTTCACCATAAAGTGTAGTTCTTTTGGGTGATTTTTTTTTATTTGTTGCTAACATTTTTTAACTAACACAAAGTAATTAAAGAGTAAACTGGTGTGCCACAGTTCCTTATGTGGAAAAATTAGCCACTATGAGGGGAGAAGTATATGAAAAGTTACTGATCACTCTGCTTTTATTTACAAGATGTTTTGTTGATTAATATCTACTGTATTTAAAGAAAAAAGGAAACAGCTGAAAACAATTGCTGGCAAGCCAGAATATGAGAACGAAAAGCTAACAAAGTTGCGAAACACTTTAATGGAAGAGTTCACAAAAACAGATGAAGCAAGAGGAATTATCTTCACAAAAACTCGACAAAGCGCGTATGCCCTTTTTCAGTGGATCAAGGACAATGCAAAATTTGAAGAAGTGGGAATTAAAGCTCATTACCTTATTGGTGCTGGACATAACAGTGAATTCAAACCCATGACTCAGGTAAAGAACTGTAACAAAATAATTATCAGAGGGCTATTAAAAGTTTGTGCACATCTTAAAGCTGCAGGTTATTAAATCATTAGTGCAGAGACCTGGGTTCTACTCCTACATCTGCCACTGGTCTCACACGTAAGCTGCCTCTTGTGCGCATCACTAATTCTCTTAATTGCCACAGTCAACATGATAATTAATAGTGTCTAAGGGCCAACTAAAAATGAAACCCCATTATGCCAGGCACTATACAGGCAAAGAGTTTACAAGCTGAGTCCTCTCTGCAAGGGGGCAGTGAGGGAAAGAATGTACTGCCTGGGTCTGCAGACTCATTTCTCCATGATTCACTTTTCTGTCTGAAGAATGGGGGGAGTAATGCCAATCTTTTGTAATGAGCTTTCAAATCATCAGATGAAAAGTACAGATAGACAAAGTATTGTTACTATTTTAAAATACATCAGTTGAGAATGAGTCTCTTTCTCACTTCTGAGGTAGATCAGGGGATCAGAATTCTAAGGCTGTGCTTTCACTTCCAAAAGTCTGTTTATACCATAGGACAACTAACATGAATTAGTTATTTCATTGTAAGAGCAGGGTGAAGAAAACACATTAGAGTTTACCACACAAAAAATTAGGTGAGGTTACCCAGCATTGCTGGACCCACCAACTGTGGAGAACCACAAGTGCCTTGTCTCTTCACAGTGCTGCCTTTTGCCATGTAGACTTTCTGCAAAGTCACCTAAGCTAGCTCTGTGCATGCTAACTCCTGAGCTGGAAGCAGCATAGCTGAGTTCACATTATATTAACTGCTATTTAGCTCTGCTGAGGAACATTGCTAATCAACAGGGATCCAGGTTTCCAATTTGCAATGGAAAAATGTGGTAAAACCTGGATTTTCTCATTTTAAGGAGAAAAACCGAGATTTCCTCATTTTAAGGAGGAAGATGCAGGAAATAATGTGTTTTCTCTTGCAAGCTGGTAGAATTCCAATCTGCAAGGGGCTGGGGGAGCAGGAGAAGGGCGATCAGCAGGGGGTGCTATGTGCATGTTCGCATATACACATACATGTGGCTGCCAGGCAGCCTGGAGAACGGTTCCTACAGGTAAGTAGGAGGGAGGGGTGCGGATTGAGGCCCCCATAGCAAAGGAGGGAGTTGGGCAGGGGTGGGGCTGCTGTCCAGCTCGGATGGGGCTTGAGGCCCAGGGCCAGAATGCGCACCTGCAGGGCAGGGAACAGGACAGAGCTGCAGGCAACTCCTGGAGGCAGCATGGGGTGCATGTGCCCCCCAGATTTGTGCACAGGGTGGCCTGCCCACTGGGGGCTCAAGCTCCCTGCCCTGCTGCCCTCTTCCTGGGGCTTCCGTTACCCAGCAAGTGAGACCTAGCACAGCAGGGCGAAGCGGGGCAGGAAAGTTCAGTGCCACCACAATCCCTATGCCACCCTGGCGAGGCACCCCCTACCCGGCTGGCAGCAAAAGGGGTAGTGGCATAGAGTTGTGCCCCTCACTGCCACCAGATGGGCAGGGGACACAGAGCTCCCAGTGGTGGCAACAAGCTTCCCTGCCCAGCCCCAATCTGCCCTGTTACAGTGAGTCCCGCTTGCTGGGTTGCAGAGGCCCCATGGGGAAGGCAGCGGGGTGGGGAGTCCAAGCTCACAGCAGCCAGCCAACATCTGCCCCTCACAGGCTCCGCTTTGGCTGTGCCACCCATGGGGGAGAGGGATCTGGGCTCTGTTCCACTGCAGCAGCTGCTGCCTCCCGCAGGCAGCAGGCAGCAGCCAGGGCCCTGGCACTGCTGTGGGGGGCAGGGGGCTGCAGACCTGGGTCCCTGGCCCCATAGCCCTGACAGCTGGGGTCTCCTCCAGCAGGGCTGCGGAGCTGTGGATGGGGAGTGAGGGGCAATGTCATGGGCAGGGCTGCTCAGCACCACAAAGCAGTTGGAGGGGGAAGGGGGACAGCCACAGCTGAACCCACATCCTGGTGAGCAAAAGGGGCAGTGGGAGCTCTCATTTTCCATAATTAACCCCAAATCACCCAAATGTGTAGATATTTAGAATTTATTTAATTATAGTGATTGAGGCACTAATAGGCTTCCAATTTGCTTTAAAATTATAAATATATCAATAAAATATTGTGTTCAACTGAAACCTATGCATATAGTGCCATTTCATTTTAATCACAGAAAAACATGGATTTGGGGGTTTTTAATCAGAGAGTTCGCAAATTTATTTTCTTTAAATTGGAGAATTTGCGATTTTTGAAAAAGAGAAAACCAGGATCCCTGCTAATCACCCTGGGCACAATGCCATGCAAATATGGTAGTACTATTTGCAGTTCAGCAAGTAGCATGGGCAAAGCTAACTCAGATAGCTGTACACAAAGCATTGCCTTGCACCATGCAGGCATACTCCCAGTTTTTTGCTGTAAAAGCATATTGTGCACTAGTTACCTCAGTGTCAAAAAGACATTTTTGTTTGCCTAGGAAGGGAAGATCTCTGGGCACATGCACATGAAGAAGTTACTAAAGGTAAAGGAGATCACAGAATACAATACATCAGCTATGCAAATAACCACACCATGTACTTAATTTTACATTACAGTAAATGAAAGATAATCCATGGGGTAAGAGTGCTCATGGGCAGTTACTTCAGAAAAACTGACACACCCTTACCCTGCCTGCTTTTAGCCAAAATTAGAAAGTTGTTTAGCAATCACATTCTCAAGGGCTCATACCCAAGGTTTCCCTTGCAAAAGTGAATAACATTATAAAAAACAATAATTTATGTAGTATGGGGTTGTGCTCTGTTTTGGGTGCTTGTGATAAGTATTTCATAGAGGAGGAACCTTAAACTTACTACTTAATTGTCATCTCTATAGCAATATGTTTTTTTTTAGTATAGGGGTGTAGGTTGTAGCCATGTTTGTCTAAGGACATAGGCAGACAAGGTTCTTTGGGTAAATCTGATATCTTTTATTAGACAAACTCAAATAGTTGGAAAAATTCTTCTTAGCAAGCTTTTGGGTTTAAATACCTTTCATTAGGTTGAGAAAACATCTGCTTTTTTAGTATTTAATTTATGGTAAGTAAGACATTTTTTAACAGTAGACTGAATTGTTTGCCTTTGTATTTAGTACACTGACATCAATGATCTAAATCATTTCCTATATTATCTTTGTACATTAGTTTAATGTAGTGGTGCTTAAGCTTTCCAGTCCTGAAGATCAGGTGAGTTTATAGATGAGGCCCTGCAGGGCTAGTCTGTGGGCTGGATCCTGCATGCCAGCCCCGTCCTGGACGCCAGATCCAGCCCCGTGCTGGCCTGACCCCGCACAACAGATCTGGCTGTAGAGTGACCCCACATGCTAGCCCAGCCGCAGACAAGTGATATAGCATGCAGGGTCATGTCATTGGTGCTTCACACCAGGTTTGACACTGCTTTCCACTGCCAAATTTCCAGAACATTAGGGAGTCCCTGTAGGCCAGATGACAAGGCCCTGAGGGCTGGATCTGGTTCACAAGCCAGAGGTTGAGCACCACTGGTTTAATGAAACAACCTCACTTTTAAGTCACAGCAGTACTGGTCCCTTTGTATATCCTGGTACTAATCTGATTTAGTGGACTGTTTTTCTTTTTAATATAGTTTAACTTTTGCATTTTCAAAAGTAAAAAAATTCTGTATTATCACATAAAATCACATTATTTCATTAAAAGGACTTTGAATATTACTGACCTCTATCTTTTCCTTGCATTACTGTTTACCTCATTTGCATAAGTCCATATGCTTTACACTAGGGCTGGATAATTATTGAATGAGAAATTGCCAAAATTCACAATGAATTTTATTCACAAAAAATCACTCAACCAGGTCTACTTAATGCTGTTTTGTTTGTTGATCTTTCTTTCTCCGCAGCAAAAATTATTCAAAATTAAATACTCTGATTTGGTAAACTCCCCTCTTGTATGCCTGCTCTAGTTCCCAAAGAGACTGTAATTTCATCACTTAAAAAAATTGTGTGGTTTACTTCTTAGACATAATTCATTGACATCAAAACTTCTTAGTTTAAAACAATGTTAGGAATTGTTCCCTTGTAGAAAAATTCTTGTTTTTTTAATATCAGTAAAATGTGGTACACAGCTGACAGAGCAAATTCTGACTAATTCTTTGGTAGCCTCCAAATAGAACACAGCAAGAAGAAAAGATATGTCCAGACTATGAAAAATGCCTATGTCTCTGCACACAAGCCTATTTTGCTTTAAACGCCTAGTCATTACTCCATTTTTTTTCAGTATAGACCCACTGGGCACATCTACATGTGACCATGACTGCGCATTTGGTACTGCGCAGTCATTTAGTGCGAGTACTAAATGACTGTGTAGTACCCACCACTACTATGCAGTCCTGGCGGTGCACAGTTATTTTTAGATGCTACATTGCCATAGTAATAAGCTATGGTGACGTAGTGTCAGCCTCACAGTTTGTGCCTGCTGATATTACGTCATTGTAACGATGAGCTTCGTTGACATAGCTCATCACTACAGTGACAGCGTCTCATGTAAACGCACCCCCTGTGTTATTTCTTTTTCGGGAAGAGGACTATAGACATTAAAATATTATTGTTTCTTAAGACATTAAAAAAAAAACCCTTTAGGCCTAAATACCCATTTGCAATCAATACTGTTGCCAGATGAGTTGAGCAGTTGAGATTTTGCAGTCTGTTCTAGTCCTCAACCACCTGCCAGAAGGTTCGATATAAGGTTATATACCCAGGTTATATATCAGGAAGAACTTTCTAACTGTGATGCTGGGGGTGCGTCTACACATGCACCAGACAGTTGCACCCAACTGCGTAAATGACTGCATATTAACCACTGGTACTGAGCAGTCCTGGTGCTGCTCAGGTTGTTTCCGGCCTTACTGCACAATAGCAATGAGACACCATGCAGTAGCTCATTGCTACTGCACAGAAACGGCGGCATCGTGGTTCATGCCCACCGATACTACGTCACCATAGCAATGAGCTATGTTGCTGTAGCCTGTCTTGTGTAGACCACCCTGGTTAAATAATGAAAGTGATTACCTAAATGGTTCTCAACCTTTTTTAGATTCAAGGCACACCTCAGAAAATGCCAGCTCTTCATTTTCACTCAATCTTTGACTACAGAAAAATAGTAGAACCATTTTTCTGATGTAAAAGCTCCAAAAACCACAACAGGTTAGAAAGGGGGTTTGGTTTTTTAGGGGTTTTTTTTAACAATATTAATTCCTGTTTGAAATTTCTGAGTTTGTTTAATGAAACTTGTTTGCACACCTGACAATGCTAACTTGGCATGGTACCTGCAGCACCCTTGAAAGAATTTAAAAGTACCCTGGTTGAAAATCAGTGGGTTAAACATACATTTGTCTGATTTGGCTTAGGCAAAGATGTTCCTGCATTGATCAGGGTTTTTTTATTTAAATGACATCCTAAGATCCCTTCCAGGCCCACATTTCTACGATTCTATATTTCTACGATTCTATATTCATTTGAAAATAAGGGTCTGTTTATACTGTGTGTATGTATATGTACTCCTGTTAGCAACAGAACAAAGTACCTGACAGCCAGTGAATTAGGATCACAGGTTGAGATTGGGTGCCTAATATTAGGCAAGCAAGGTTGAAAATGTTGACCATAATTCATTAAATATGTTTTTAAAAAGGAAAGTTAGAATTTAGGTGCTGAAAGCTAAAATAATGAATTTTTAAAAATTATTTTCACAGAATGAACAAAGAGAAGTCATCAGTAAATTTCGTGCTGGAAATATAAACCTACTTATTGCTACTACTGTGGCTGAGGAAGGTCTGGATATCAAGGAATGTAACATTGTTATCCGCTATGGTCTCGTCACCAATGAAATTGCTATGGTGCAGGTATGTCAGTATGCCATGTGGGTCTTTCTTTATTATTATGGTTTACATATTTGGATATATTTTTAATACAGCCGATAATTCTTATTGTGGCATGTGAAAGCCAACACAACCTTCCTCTGTTAGAGGGAGGATGAGAGAGTTACTGTGGAGCAATACATTCATTGACAGCTCTATTTTCAGAGCACAGTTTAATAACAATAGCGAATCACATGAATGGGATTTGGAGGAAACCTTAGAAGCCTTGGACATGAGTGAGGAAGGTGGTTAGAGATACTGTATTTAGCACGAACACCAAGGCCACTTCCATGATTCATCTTCTGTCTGTTTACAGTGTAAGATTCACTTAGGTGCAGAGTACCTACCCAGAGTGCTTCAGAATTAAACTCGATAGTGTCCCTTTGAAAAGGGTGTGAGAGGATGAGTACAGCAATGTGCCTCTACACCCCTTTAGGCAATGTTGAAGAGAGGGCTTCAGAGGAGTGTTCCTACCCTTTGTATTAATGTCATGAGATCTTTTCTCTTGTACTCATTTACCAATAAATGGTGGATGCCAAGGAGGGTATTGGTAAGTAGATAAATCACTCTACAGGGAGAGTATTGAACCAGATATCTCTGCAGTATTAACTTCTGCCACTAACTGAAACAGGGTAGTAGGCTAGAAGGACCATTGGTCTGACCCAGTACAGCACTTACATTCTTATGTAATAGGAGTATTAGATGCAAGACATGGAAGGTGATAATGCCTCTTTATTCCTCACTGGTTAGGCTTCATGTAGAATATTGTGTGAAGTTTTGGTCTTCACATGTAAAAAAAGACATGGAAAAATTAGAGAGGGTCCAGAGGAAGGCAACAACAATGGTAAAGGGTTTGGAAGGCAAGCCATACAAGGAGAGGTTGAAGGATGCTCAGCTTGTGGAAAAGGCACTTAAGAGGAGAAATGATAGCAGGCTTCAAATATCTAAAGGGCTGCCATGAAGGACTCTCCCTTGCTACAGAGAACAGGGTACAGACCAATAGCTTGAATTTGCAGCAAAGTCGGTTAAGATTGGATATCAGGATAAACTTCTTCACTGTTAGAACAACGAGGCAGTAGACTTAGGGAAGTTGTGAAATCTCCATCATTGGAGGTGTTCAAGAAGAAGTTGGATAAGTGTTGGTCAGGGAAGAGTATTTCCAATGCTTCTGGGCTTTGTTGGTTGCTGCAAGGGTCCAGGAAGAAATACTTGTCACCTTCTGTTCCTATACATTTTCCATCTTGCTCAGCAGCATTGGGTGTTGGTGGCAGGTAGGGCTGGGGATTTTGACTGGCTTGTACCAGTGCTCCCGTTTGGACTAAACCCCGGAGGTTCCTGGCTAGAGGGTCTTGCCTCTTTGCTCAGGGTCAGAACTATTGCCGCATTTGGGATCAGTAAGGATGTTACCATGTGGTCAGACTGGTAGGGACTGTGGGGGGTTTTGCCTTCCCCGGGAGGGTGGGGAGTGGAGACATGGCCCTTTTTCCTTGGAACTCTTAAACATATTTTAACAACACTGGAAGCAGCAGAACACCTGCCACTATTGTTCTCCTGCTTAGAATCACAGAAAATTAGGGTTGGAAGGGACCTCAGGAGGTCATCTAATCCAACCCCGTGCTCAAGGCAGGACCAGCCTCAACTATATCATCCCAGCCAAGGTTTTGTCTAGCCAGAAAACCTGCTTTGCTTGTGGCAGGTTAGGCTGCTATGCCTTATGGTTGCATGACAGGGTGAACTGTAGTTTTAGTAACAGGTTAGACAACGATTTATAGGGAAAGGTTTAGATAGTGATAATCCTGCTTCAAGAAGGGAATTGGACTAGAGGACTTGTAGAGGTCTCTTCTATCTTACTCTTCTGTGATTCTATGTGATTTGTGAGTGCAAGAATATGTTGAAGATACAATTTGGGTTTTAAGTTGCAAAGATTTATCTCATGGTTCCAAAATCCTTTTAGCAGCATAATGTGTATTGACACCACCTCTTACTTTTAACAGTACTGCAGAGGCAGCATAGGGCATTGGAATGTTTCTTAAACAAGAACACTTAATTAAAGCAATGTTTCACTGGGATGCTTCACGTAAGGAACATGGAATACCTTTTGTTACAGAAAACATATGCAATAAAACCACAGATGGCTCTGCAGTATTTATTATCCCATTTCTCTTGAAAACTGCAGGCTCGTGGACGAGCCCGAGCTGATGAGAGCACCTACGTACTGGTGGCATCAGGGGGATCAGGAGCTGCTGAACGTGAAAATGTCAATATATTTCGTGAGCAAATGATGTATAAAGCCATCCAACGTGTCCAAAGGATGCCACAGGAGGAATATGTAAACAAGGTATGATTTCTGACTCATCCTTTGCCCTGTAAGTAGGAACAGATCTCTGTTACATACTTGAATCCTAAAAGGAACAGTGAAACTTTTTTTTAAAGGAGTTAAAAATGTTATTGTGTACCCTATTTGGCTTTGAAACCTTCTGTCAATATTTCTGTTTTATAGCCACTTTTCTGTGTTCTTTTTATTTAAAGCCTTTCTCTACCCAGTTGATATAGGAAAGCTCTACACAAAGACTAATTAGACAGAATGTCATCAAATGAAAAAAGCAAAGTAACTGAAAAACTAGAGAAAAGCATTTTTCCTCCAATCATCTGTTACAATCCATTTAGGACAATGGCACCCAGTCCTTTGGTCCCAGGGGCCAAAGGTCCTCCAATCTGTGGTGTAGGATCAGTTAATGAGCCAGATATCGTGTAAGGTCAGTCCATGGGTGCAACACTGTGTGCTCAGGTCCAGCTGTGCACCAACCCAACCCTGTGTACCTGGGTCCCGCCACATGCTGGCATGCAGGGCCACATTATCCAGCCTGCAGGGCTCTCTGGACTTTGGCAGCTCATGAACAACAATTAACACTGCCACTGCTCCCTTGCCACCAAATTTCCAGACCTTTGGGGAGCCCCATGGACTGAATGACACTGCTCCATAGACTGGATTTGCCTGTGGGCCAGGGGTTGAGCACTTTTGGTTTGGGAGATACAATTAATAATTCAGACACACCGATAAAGAAATATGATTTATAATTTGACTGTGTCCCTTTAATGGTGTCAGTTCCCATGTACATATCTGTGGTTTTGGAGGTAAACTTGGCAATAAATCTTTTTTTCTACTGAAGCTACAGCAGGAGATTCATAAATAGGACAATGTTCTTATCCTTCTATTTCTAGATTCAGGGGTTTCAGATGCAAAGTATAATGGAAATAAAAATGAAGGCAAAGAGAGAGCAGCGTAAGATATACAAGGAAAATCCATCGTTAATAACGTTCCTTTGCAAAAACTGTAGCAAACTAGTATGTTCTGGAGAAGATATACAAGTTATTGAAAGCATGCATCATGTCAATGTTAAAAAGGAGTTCCAGTAAGTATTATTAAACTACATATTCTCATTTAGGTAGAAACCTGTTGGTATGAGGGCAGAGCAGCACTCTGGGCATTGCATAATAACAAAAAGTGGTAATATCATGAAAAAAAGTAGGGTATGACCCAAATTCTGCTATTGGCAAGTAAGAGAAGTTTCAGTACCTTTTCAGTTACACTTGGCTTACATTTTTTGCCGCTGAGATGCTGACGGGGCAAGACCACACTGAGCTCTGATTCGGGGCCAACTAAGGGATGAAATATCAAGAAGTGCAAAAGATAGGTTCCACAAGCAGAGCTAACTCGGCTACCTTGTACACACCGCATGTATTTAACAGTGCTGTCAGTAATCAAGTGCCGCAAGTTGAAGACAACATGAATCTCAGGGTCCTCTGCATACAGACCTGTACACTGTTGAGACTTTTCTTAAACATTTAGCACTGGACACCCACAAGTGCTACGTTATGAGCAGGCGATCTGTACTGCACTTTGTTGATACTGTAATTGAGAGATTATTAAAAATGTTTTATTTTAACTGCACAAAAAAAATTGTAATTGTTTTTAACAGAGGGATAGTTATATATCAGACTTCACCCCACACTACAATCTCCTTCTAAAGTTACCTTTGTTTGAGATATATCATTTTTAGTTTCCACTGCAAGAACGTTTGGGGAAAGTTAATGAGGAAATGGTGCTTATGGGCACCATTTCTCCAGGAGCTCCATGATAAGCAGAGGAAGTATTCTAGCTACATCATTATTTATAAGTGTGCAGAATGGTCCCCCTTAAAGGTGATGAGCCTTGGCCATGGTAGAGGGAGACAGTGAGCCATATCTTCTCTGCCTCTTAAGAGCTACCAGAGGGTAGACCCTGCACTCAGGGGAGCACACAGCATGCAGTTTGTAGCATCTTGTCCTTGCAGAGTGGTGACAAAGTGTCCTTGCATTCTCTCCTACTCTTGCACTTGTCCAAAAGTCAGACATAGTTTATGGCAGCAGTTCTGCTACCGTGCTTGCAGACTAGATTTTCTTTAGGAGTTGAACTCTAAAAATATACTATTTAAGGCCACCTCTTTGAGAGAGAATAACCCCATCTAATTCATATTTCATGTCCATTTTCAGGGACCTTTATTATACAAGAGAAAATAGAACACTGCGAGAAAAACATGCTGATTACCAAACAAATGGTGAAATTATCTGCAAACATTGTGGGCAAGTAAGTGTGTGTTTCCTCATTCTCTGTAGTGCCAAAAGGTATCTGTCTAATTATTTTTGCTAACAGATGCTTTTCTTCAATTTTTCAGGCTTGGGGAAATATGATGGTGCACCGAGGGCTTGACCTTCCTTGCTTGAAAATCAAAAATCTCGTGGTTAGATACAAAGATAAAAAAACCTCAAATCAACTTTACAAGCAATGGGGAGAGCTGCCAGTCAGCTTCCCTGATTTTGACTATGCAGACCACTTTGTTTCCAGCGATGAAGACTAAGGATTTGTTCACAAATGTACACTCAGTTTAATTTTAACCTGAAGCATTATTTTTACTGCTGTGATTACAGGCTCCTGGTTTGTTTATTTTTTCAGGAAAAGCTCCTGTCTTGTATCTTTAAAACTGGAAACTCCAAGTGCAGTAAAACTGGGACATCACTTGGGGAGAAGGAAAGGTGTTTGTGCTTTTGTGGTGGCTTGGAGTAAGAAAAGAAAAGCCTTAGTAGATCCAGGCTTTTGTGAACTCAGGGGACAAACCTTCCCTCCCTATATACCAGAATCCAGCGAATGAATGAAAAAGTTTTCATTGATTGGATTTTTTTCCATCATTGCAAAAATGCATTTAATGAGTGGCATATGCCATCTAAGATAATTAACAAACATTTGGGGGGATTTTAACTCGGGAAATACTTGTTAAAGGTCATTGTTAGATCAGACATGCATTTGAAACTGAGGTTGGGAGTTAGTTATTGGTAACAAAGAGGCAGAAGTAGAGCATATATGATATGCAGTCAATCTTTCAGTGCAGGAATTGGTGAGGGCTGCTGACTCCCAGCAGTGATGTAAGCCAGTGGTCAGGTCCGGCCTGCAGAGCCATTGGATCCAACCTGTGCCCGATGACTTCAGCAGTGGGATATTTTGCCTGCACTGCACTGTACCTGGGCTCTGGAGCTTTGCCCATGCCACAGCTGGGTGGCAGGAAGCAGTGGCAGCAGCAGCCGAATTCTAGTGCTAGCCCTTGGACCCAAGCTGGGTCGTTCCAGCCCACCATGGCAAAAAAGGTTGCTGACCACTGATCTAAGCTATTTTCCTCCCTTCCTTTCCCCATGTTAACACTGTCTCACAGTGACATAAGTCATGTGAGGGGGTATCTTTTAACTCAGAGTTTCCCCTGAAATGGCTGTCGTTTGGACACTGGTTCTGTGTTGTGCTTCTCCTCTTATATTATTAAGGGGTGACTCCCACATTTGTTACAGTCAGACTAAATTTAAACTATTATATAAAATATTTTAAGAAAACCATGTACTTAAACCTTAAGTAACAGTAGCAAATAGAATTTTCCATTTGCAGTATTATACAAAGATTTTGTAAAATGTTGAAGATGCATTGAAGTATGCTTCTTTAATAAATGGTTATAACAACTCTTTTTTGCCACCATTATTACACATTTATATACAATAATCTTTTTAATAGTTTAAACTTCTCTTTGTGACTTCTCATTTAAGCATCTGACAAATTTTTATTGACTTCAGTAGGACCAAGATTTCACCTACACTTCAAAACAATGTGCTGCTGTAATTTACAGCAGGGTTTGAAGTTTACCTTTCAAAACTTTAAAACAAAGTGCAGCTGTGAGAGGTAACTAAAAATGGCATCATGCACTTCCATATTTATCTTACAAACAGAATAATTTGATCAGTTTACCAGTAAAATATTTGAGGTTTGGGGATTGTTTATCTGTTAGCCTTGTAACTTCAAACTAGAATCTGCAAAATCAGTTGCTGGCAATTGGAGCACAAGGGAGATACGTAAAAATACAGTGGAGGTGCAATTGAAGTGTACACTTTTCTGCAACTGCAGGTAAATATTCTGTAGTTAGAACAGAGCTAAGAAGTTCTTTTATTATGCTCAGGTCAGAAGAATGTCCAGCGCATTCTTTCATAGCCACACCAGATTATAGTTAATACGAGTAAAGATATTATAAATAGTTCACATTATTAGAGGATCAGATTTGACTCTCATTACATACAGCAGATCCGCTGACTTAGAGGATAGCATCTTTATGTAATTACTTTGACCACAGATTAGGTATATTTCATTACATTGCTATATCAAAAAACAAGTAAAAGACTGAATCACGGAAACCAACAAACTTCTATAGAACACTGCTCAATTTTAATTTACATTTGTCAGTCTCTGCATCCTGATAAGCTCATCTGTGGTACACCTAGTTTTTCTTGAATTTATGCTGCAGTCATTCGGGTAAGTTATGCAAAAACTCTACTAAAGTTCTTGAGGCCTATTTTTCAGTTTCTTTACTTTTAAATGAGTAAAGGACTTCTAAAAGATTTTTATGCTCATGCTGATAGGTATGTTTTCTTCTATGGGAATACTATAGATCTGGTGTTGGCAACCTATGACTTACAGGCTCAGAGGTGCCCTGTTAAGAGATTGCATCTGGCCTGTCAAACATGGCTTGTTTATTCATAGATTCATAGACATTAGGGCTGGAAGGCACCTCACAAGATCATCGAGTCCAGCCCCCTGCCCCAGGGGCAGGAAGTCAGCAGGGATCATAGGATCCCAGCAAGGTAAACATCCAAATGTCTCTTGAAGGCATTCAAAGTAGGTGCTTGAACCACCTCTGGCAGCAGTCTATTCCAAACCTTGGGGGCTCAGACAATAAAGAAGTACTTCCTTATGTCCAGCCTGAAACGGTCATGGAGGAGTTAGTGACCATTCAACCTTGTCATCTCTTGGGGTGCTCTGGTGAACAGACACTCCTCCAGATCCTGGTAAGCACCCCTGATAAACTTATAGGTGGCCACCAGATCATCCTGAGTCTCCACTTTTCCAGGCTGAAGAGTCCCATGGCTCTCAGCCTTTCTTCGTAAGGTCTGTTTTCCTGACCTCTGATCATGCACATGGCTCTCCTCTGGACTCTCTCAAGCTTCTCCACATACTTTTTTGAATTGTGGAGCCCAAAACTGGATGCAATACTCCAGCTGCGGCCTTAACAAGGCCAAGTACAATGGGAGAATGACGTCCTAGGATTTGCTTGACAAGCAACTGTGGTTGCAAGACAGCGTTTTGCTTGCTTTACTAGCAGCAGCATCCCACTGAAGGCTCATGTTTATCTTGTGGTCAATCATGACCCTCAAGTCCCTTTCGTCTGTAGTGCTAGCCAGCATAGCAGTGCCGAGCCTATAAGCACGCTGTAGGTTTTTTGTCCCAAACCTTGCATTTTTCAGTGTTAAACACCATCAGGTTCTCGTCCACCCATTTCCTGAGCCTGTCAAGGCCAGCCTGAATCACCCTTCTGTCCTCAGGTGTGGACGCTTTACCCCAGAGTTTGATGTTGTTGGCAAACTTGGCCAGTCCGCTTTTGACACAAATGTCCACATCATTAATGAAGATGTTGAATAGTATAGGCCAATGACAGAGCCTTGAGGGACTCCACTGGTCACAACGCACCATGACGATTAACTTCTGTCAACCACCACCCTCTGAGTCTGACCACGGAGCCAATTCCCCAGCCAGCGGATCGTGGCGAGGCCGAGTTAGCCAGTTTTGCTAAGAGGTAATCATGAGATACCAGATCGAAGGCTTTTTTGAAGTCAAGATATACAACATCAATCTCTTCTCCCTTGTCCAGGTGATAGGTCACCTGGTTGTAGAAGGAAATAATATTGGTCAAGCAAGACCTACCTGCGACAAATCCGTGCTGGCTATTCCTCAGGATGTTGCTATCGCCCAGTCTGTTAAGAATGTCCTCTTTGATAATCTTTTCTAAGACCTTCCCCAGGATAGAGGTCAGGCTGATGGGCCTATAGTTAGCCAGATCCACTTTCCTCCCTTTCTTGAAGATGGGCATGACATTGGCCTTTTTCCAATCTTCAGGCACTTCACTAGAGCACCAGGAGTACTCAAAGCTCCGTGCCAGGGGCTGAGCTATGATGCTAGCCAGTTCCTTGACTACCCTGGGGTGTAAACTGTCAGGGCCGGCTGACTTGAAGATGTCCAGCCTCTCAAGGTATTCCTTCACGAGGTCAGCATTGATGGAGGGTAAGGAATCTCCCTCACCCATATATATTTATATGTCCCACTGTTAGCCAGTTTTGTACAAGAATTGTGTCATGGACTTAGGCCCTTGGCAGACATTACCACTTAAGACATGATTCACCTGTTAAATATGTTTTAAATAGTAACCCAGCCACATGTTCAGGTAATTAATAGTGCTACAATACAAAACCAGCCACAAATTTATTTCACAAAATACATGTAATGATTTTGTGGATGGTTTCCATTGCACCTTACCTTGAACAAGTGGCAGGGTCCCCGCCATGCATCATGAGGCCAGTTGGATGGTAGAGGTTGGTTAACAGCTCCAATAGCCCCAGGACCAAACCAAAGTCTTCAGCCAGCTCTGGTGCAGTCCCAGGGCTGATTTGTTGGTCCCAACCCCAGGACTGAATGGGTTCACCAGATGTGATTTTTGGGATCAGAGAATAGATCCCATTGCGCCGTTAATTTTAATGTGTGTCATGGGCACTAGTGGTAGAATAACAAATGCTGCCTCTAGGACCTGTCACCTAGTCCTAGCCAGCCTAGTGGGTAGAGCCAGGTGTAGAACTGAGAGTTGCATGGATAGGGGGCAGAAGCCACAAATCAGGAGCCAAATGCCAAGCTGGGGTCAGGTGCCAGAAATCTGAAGGATAATCCACAGGCAAAGTCCAAGAGCAAGCCAAATCAAGGTCAGGAGCTAGGAGTCAAGTCTTCAGGGAGAATCCAAAGCCAAAATCCAATAACAATCCAAAAGCAGGATAAAAGAACCAGGGAAGCCAGAGATGTTGCTAGGACAAGAGCTACTCAGAGACTGAAGACCAGTGTGTTGTGCAACCAGGCTCAGGTGCTGGAGGAGTTCCTTAAAAGTAGCTCCAGGACCAATCAAAAGGAAGAGGCTTGGGGTCAGCTAGACTTAATCATTACAAGTGAGTCAGCTGCACTTAACAAGGACTGCAGGGCAGCAGCCTACCCGAGCTTTTCAGAGCTGACCGAGGCTGCAGCACAGGAGCCTTATAGTATTTCCTACCTCCTTCCCTCCCCCAGGGGAGTTTACAGGTTTATTAGGATGAGTCCGATGACAACGTGTTATGAGGTCTGGTGCATGGACACTGCTGGCTGACTCTTAGGATCATTCCTCTGGGCTATAACCCTCCCAGTCCACTAGATAGTGTAATTTCTCCTTAAGCATCTTTGAGACTAGAATTTGGTGAACCAAAATGTCTTCTTGGTTCTTCACAGGATGGGGAGGGTTGGGCAGCTGGTTGAGAAATGGGCTCTCCTTCTGAGTCTTCAGATATGAAAGGCCCGGTGTATTTTCATTGTCCTGGGGAGCCCTAATTTGTAGGCAACTGGGATGATCTTTACAATGATTGGGAAGGTGCCCAAGTATCAGTAGTCCAGTCTGGTGGAGGGATACACAGACTGCAGTTTGTGGGTAGATAGCCAAACCTTCCCCCTTCACACAGAGAAGACTGGTGCTTCTTGCCAATTCTTACCTGAGAATCTCGTAAGTCTCCTTGGCAGCCTCTAGATGCTCCTTTAATTCTTTCTAAACCAGGCAGATGTGATTGACCAGATCAGCTGTGGCCGGTGTGCAAGAGGTCTGGGAGGGCAATGGGTGAAAACACGAGTGAAAACTATAATAAAAAAGGAAAAAATAATGATTGATCAGTGGATGTGTGTTCAGAATTATTTTATGCAAAGTCTGCTAGCGGGAATAAGGAGACCCAATTGTCTTGGTGATAATTCAAAAAGTATTGGAGATATTGTTCAAGTGTATGATTGATCCATTCTGTTTGTCCCTCAGTTTGTGGGTGATGGGCAGATGGGGCAAGAGGTTTGATTTCTAAGTGCTCTTTCCAGAAATGGTAAATGAATCGTGGGCTGTGGTCCAAGATGATACCCCTGGAAATACCATGCAGCTGGAGGACATTTTCTATGAATAGTTGAGCTGTCTCTGGAGCAGTGGTGGTCTGGGAACAGAGAATGAAATGAGCCATCTTGATGAGCAGGTCTACTAATACCAGGATGCTTGAGTGTCCTAGGGCAGGAGGTAGATCAGTAGTAAAAAAAAAAATGAACAACACACAATGTTGTATGCCAGGACTGGCTTGGCAGTGGTAGTGGTTGGAGGAGGCCTAGCAGTTTGATGCATGGGTGTTGGTGTGAGTGCAAACCTTGCAGGAGTCAATGTGTTTCTGAATACGCTGACAAAGTTGGGACCACCAGAAGCTGTGGAGGACCAGGCTGGTAGTTTTGGTAATACCAAAATGCCCTGCAAGCAGAGTCATGGCACCTTTTGGAAGAGATTCCCTTCAGGGATATACCGGCATTGCTTGTGCCAAAGGAGCCCATCATG